TTGTTTTTAATAACACTTTGCATTTCCATCAGCTATATGTGGAATAGAAATTGTATTTATATATCACCTTTTATTATCTGTAAAGTAAGACTGATTTACAGTGGAAAACAAAAAAATTGAAAATATAGGCATAAACAGAAAAAGAAACAAATATGAGGCAACATAAAAATAGGCGTGAGTGAAAAGTAAAATCTGAATTAATAAAGCAGAATACGTCAAACATGTTACACGGCAATAAAAGCCACAAAGAAATGCAGTACGTGTCTACATACAGCGACGCACACACACGCACACACACACACACACACACACACACACACACACAGCGATTAGCTACAGGTGTGGGAGAATATGGAAGTTTTTGAGAGTAACAGTTGTCATGGACTTTGAATCATCAAGCAGCTTGTTCCAGAGAACAGGATCAGCGTGACTGAAGACGGCCTCGTCAGAATAATTCTCACAGATTGACTTCTGTACGTTTATTTTACAGGTGTCAACAGGTTATCATCAAAGAGTGTTGGATATGTATTTAGAGGCCAAAAATTAAAGCCAAGCATATTTAATACATGCGTTTTTATGAGTTTTTGATACTTCTCTTTTACCCTCAAAAAACGATATGAATTGCATGATAGATTTTTAATGACTAAATTGTAAATGTGATACAAATTAAAACTCATATATGCAGATTAAAAATAATATATCTTTTATATATTTTGCCTAAAGGTTCAACAAACACTCCATTATCAAATAATTAAAGATTTCTGGCAGTTATTTCATGTTGCAGGTTTTAAAGGGTTAAATACTGAAGGTCCAAGTCAAAACAACTGAAATGGTTTAAAATATGTGTCAGTTAGAAAGATTATTTTCCTTGTTCTTGTTCTTGCTAAGATTTAAGGGCGGAAAGGACATATTCTGATTTTATAGGGTTAAGGTTTGGATGTAATGACCTTGCAGGGATAAAAAAAACTGTAAAGAACTTGAAACCCTAGCTTATTAGAGTGTTAGGAGGAGTAAATGATGCTCAGTTATTCCCTCCAGTTTGCACTCCCATGTATTGTCTCATTTTCATGACCCTGGATTTATTCGACTTGGATTAAGGATTTCTACCAGGACCGTTTTTTTGTAACTTTTGTAAATGTCAACCCTACAACACCACAATTAATGTCTCCTGGAAAGATTGTCTGAAACTGTGTGATATTATTCATGTTTCCTTTTTTTATTAAACCATATCAATCTCTCCTCCTCCCTAACCCTCTCTATTACAGCCAGGCTTTCAGCTATAAACAGTTCTAGGAGACCACATACCTGCACTCCTTACTGCTGTTAGGGTTAATTAGGTATTGATTTGATCAGGACCAGGCAAGGGGCCTTATTCTAAAGGCTTTGGTCACAATGAATTATTAATGTTCATACAGAACTATATATAGCGTGCATCCAGTGGTCACAAGAAAGTCAAGCGTTGGTTCCTCTGTGCTGCTTAACCCAATCCCTGTTTGCTCCCCTCTCTGCTTCCTGCTCAGATTGATTGCACTACTTCCTTCAGGGTCATGTTCATTTTTTTCCTTTTGGCTGTTGGAAATTTGAGAGATGTTGTTTCTTTACACGTTTGGGTGTGCTTTGATTTGACAAGCACACCCTGAGTGAATTTTTTAGTTGCTTCATTGCTCTTGACAAATACAAAGCAGCGCTGTGAGAGCACCGAGAGGCAGACTTTTACCAATCTGATGTTGATGGTGTTTTCCTAAGAGATATATCCACACAATTTTTTTTTTTTTAAAAGGTCCAAATCTGGTTAACGCCAAGCAGAAACATTAGTGAATGAATGCCAAAACTGCAGTTCATCTAATAACCCAAAGTGAGCCTCCTTTCAGCCTTGAGGAAGTCTGTCTGTTACGAACAAAAGCTTTGGTCTCTGCAGAGTTTCCAGCCTTCATAATAACTTGCAGCTAACGAAGCTTGCTAGCATTAGTTGATTAGCATCTTCTAGTCTAAATATGGCAGCTTTTAGCTCCAAGATTCCAAAATGGTGGCAGGCATTATGTGGCTACATCCATCTATTATATAGAGTGTGGGGTTATCATATTTTCTGTCCGCTTTCATTAACTCGTAAACATACCATAAAATGCCAAAGCTTTAATTAAAAAAATAATGGCTCCTAGTGTAAAGTTGTTGAGCATGTATGTCTACATCATCCACTTCTTCTTTATCGTTAAAGTGCTGTGTGTGTTATACCCTGCATGTGCAGCAGCTTCACCGTGATTCACTGCATCGATCATTTGTTCACATATTTGCCACAATTGCTCGTCATGTGCACGAAATGCACACCGTTCAGCTTGATGTCTGCTGATTCTGTGCATGTGTGCATTTTTGTGTATGTGCCTCAGTTTTGGTCATGCTCCTCTCAGCTGTGCTGCTGTACAGTGAAGTGAAATGAAGTGGCACAGTGGAGATTTTAAAGATTTGTGTGCGAGAGAAAGAGGAAGAGAGTTTATATTCACATGTATTTTTGCATAACACAATGACACAGTCCCGGATGCCATAGTGTGTGTGTGTGTGTGTGTCTGTGTGTGTGGTCTCTTTCTACTAAGTCATGTGTGACTGCTTTTGGACCAGCAGTGTGTGTGTTCACTAACTGACCTACATTTCTGGAGCTTTTTGCCAGTGGCTCAAGAGACTTTGTCACCGTTATCTCATCTAGCCAATCACAGCCCCTAATCTCATTTTGTCCAATCACATCCCCAATCTCATGTGTCCAATCATGGCTTTGGCCTTCGGGGGAGTCATCTTCTACTCTACCCGGGCTTCTGTCGGAGAAGCGTTTGCGGCTGACTGTACCTTTTAAACACTCACCGTCTTATGGGCCAAATAGAGCAGCAGCTCAGTAATTTTGACTTTCAGCGCTGATTTCTCATGCAGCGCTGCAACCCTAATTATATCCCCCCAGCTTGAAAGGAGAGCTGTGTTTCTGCGCACATTGCCAGCTGGAGAGGAAGGAGAAAAAATTGAAGCTTTTGAAAATTCTTTGAAGCTTCTGTTTTTTGTTATCAAAGCCGTCTTTGTTGGTTGCATGAATTTTGCATGTGCAGGTTTAAGGGAACTGTGATGTGTGTGTGGTAAGCTGGGTAGGTGGATGTGTTTTCATACAACATGTTTTGCAAAATATAAAAAAGTACCCATCACAATAGGTTTAATCAATACCATCCATGTGAATAGCAACTATAAAATATTAACTTCATTAAAAATATTAACTTAAAAATTGAACACATTTGGTTTGATGCTACTTGAATTGTTTCTAATCTAGTGCTGTAATCTATATAGATTATATAAAGTAGCTGTGTATTAATCGATAAGGGAGGACCTGTTAAATAGATGATGCTGGAGTTGTTGCAGTAGTTATCATGTTATTTAATTTTAAACTCAACCTGAGCTGGATTTTGCCAGACAAACGTCTTGAGTAATATTTCTGTATGTGTTGTTGTGTCACCACATGGCAGATGTTTCTGGAAATTAAAACATACGCACAAGTTCATTTGTATCTGGCTGTAGGCCAACACAAGCCTGGAGAGTAAGGGACAGATAATGAGGGATTTCTTTCTGTATCTCTTTCACAAACACACACCATTTCACACACTTTTTTCAGTGTGACTTACCGTGTGGGTGTTCCTGCACGTCTAAGCGCATAATCAGTAATGTGCTCATTGTTTTAAAACCAAGCGTATAAAGTCAAATTTTCATGGTGAAAATGAAAAAAAAGGTACTTGAAAAGCATCTGGAAATAAATACAGTGTTTGATAGATACACCGTCAGATTAAAACTGACCGCTATTGTTGCAGTCACAGTTTGAAACCAGTGTGCTCAGATAGTCTAGAAGTTGAAAACCAGCTGTCTCGTGTTGTGTATTAATTACGGCAAAACAAAAATAAGAGCAAAATCAAACCAGATTCATTCCAACTGCGTTTCTTCCACATTGGATTGAAACCTATAAAATGCAGCTGCAATCCTTGAATCTTTGACCTCTTTCCTATATTGGTTGCTTATAGTGTTGGTGCTGTGGGAGCTGAAGTGTTGCTGCTGACTGTAATGATTTTATAACAGAAATACATTTCCATGCAGGCTCTGGTTTTTCAGTCTCTGCTATTCCTGCGAGTAAAGAAGCATGGCCTCAGACTGTCATCTTCAGCACCGAGCGAAGTGGCCACACTTGAACTGTGTGAGTGCGTGCAGCGTCTCCTGCACGCACCCCTCCAACCCTTCCATCCCCTGCTCAAAATGCACACACATTTAAACACACATATGTCTTTGTCTCCGTTTCTCTCCGTCTGCCTCTGTTTCCATTTAGTGGAGGATGGGTTGGGGGGAGGAAAGAGAGAAGAAAGGTGGAGGTGGTGGTGGGGGGTGGTCAGGTTGAAAATTACAATACGTATTTATGGGTTTTTTTGTGTGCTGTTGCTTGGCAACACCACATCGGGGGTATTTACAGTTAATAAAAAGTGAGTGACATTAGCTTGGTGTATTAGAGGTAAATCGCTCATTTGCTTTAAGAGCTAGAAAGAAAGTGTGTGTGTTTGTGTGTGTGTGTCTTTTCTTTTTATTGTGTGTGTATATGTAATAAGTGCTCACTGAGCCTTATCTTTGTAGATATTTAACTCTTTGTGTGACCGAAAGGCCTTTGTTTTTGTGCTCTAACATCATTCTGTGTGTGTGCGTATACAAATATATTTTCATATTTGTATACGCACACATAAAATAATATATTCCTAAATCTTTACATTTTCATTTAAATAGTTTTTTTTCCCACATTTATTATTATATCGCTTTTTCTTTCTTTTGTGCATCAGCAGAAATCTATCCCAGGAGAAAAGCACGTTGTCATCACATTTCCTCCTTAAAAGAACGATTGTTTTATTCCACGCAGCTGTATTTTTGGTCGCTGCCATTAGTTGTTTCGATGGGAACTGTGTCAGCTGGCATTAACGTCACATCTTGTCTGTCTTTCACAGGCTTTGAAAGCATCTTGGAAGGCTTGTTTGGGCCGGGACTAGTCAAAGACATCACCCTTTTCCAAGGTAAACATGCAAAACAAACAAATCAGCATTTGCAAATACAACTGTATACAAACGCACCGACCATAGTTAGCAACGCAAATGGCAGTCTGTCCTACCGAGTCTTTGGCAGCTGACGTACCAAGTAACACACACGTGATGAAACTGTGAGGGGAAAAAATGGGAACTTTAATAAAATGAAATAAACAAAACAACAAAATGGATATTTATTGAGAGAAAAATAAAATAAATCTTTTTTTATCAGTGACAATGTTGTTTGGAAGGACTAAAGTCATTTTCATCTTGTGCTCTGGAGAGCTTTTACATATTTCTGTTTAAAAAAAAAACAATAGACATGTACATACAGCAGGAGCTCAGCTCTCAATTTAGCTTAGTGTTATTCAGCGTGAGAGACACTGTGGACCTTCAATAAATATATACTGACATGACAATGAGCGACACAGCATCTCCCCATTGATCTGACTTGAAAACATTTATTGCCTACAGAAGTGACGCTGCTGCAGAAAGCATTTAGAATACAAAACAATATGATTAATTCATACAATAGCCTTTAATTTATACAGGCCAGATGTCACTAAACAGAGCTGGAGAAGGACAAAAACTGGCAGCCTGGACCAGCTGAGCTTGATGGTTTCTCTGGTAATGAGGCTCTCACTGCTCTCTAATGGTCTGATGCTAGAGGAGCTGGTAAACGGCTAAATACAGTGCAAAAAAATAGTGACTTAAATGCATCTGCTACGACTGCATTCACGGTGAGAGCACGAGCAGCAGAAACAGGGCTCGGTCTGAGTCACACAGCTGATGTCACAGATCAGCACCACCCTGCAGATGTGTCTTCATGTTACCTGCTGACTTGAATGTGAATCTGCACATCTGTATTAAAATATAAAAATAATATTATGGTGTATGCAGTCATTCCTCTTTTTCATAAAATCCAACATGCCAGGTCTTTTGACCTTTACTTGAACCTTTATGTGATTTTTCTTCTGTCATCTTAGATGCTTTTAGTTGTAGAATATTCAAATATTCGCCTCTTCAAATTTTGTTAGAAGATTTAGCTATTGTTTATATCCCTTTGGCACAATCTCTTTTTCCCAAATGAATCCATCAAAAAAAAGGAGAGTAGAAAAACTACAGACACAAGAACAGCCCTCCCTCTTTGCTGTGCTTATTTGGTGAGTGATTAGCAAGGCCTCAGAGAGTTCCAGAGAGCAGCGCAGCATCTTCTGTTGCTTTTTCCCTGAGTGATCACTTTGCATATAAATATAGCCCAAGTTACAGCAGAGCCATTGTCTTTATCTTTATCTGTATGTTGATTTTTTTATTCACATGTATTACTACCAGCTGAGCATCATTTAAAGGCCACAGTCTACATGAATGTATTTCTCACCATGTCTGTCCCTTTATGTCCTGATGTCTGCTTATAATAATAAAGCACCATGTCACATAGCTCACATAATCTAAAACCAGTTAGTTGAATGATCAGAACTACAGTAGAGCCCCTTTGGGATCTGGTAATATTGGATATTTGCATCACGGATGTGCAACCAATAGATCTGCAGATCTGTGTCATGCTGTCAAGTCAAGGTGGACCAAAACATCTGAGGAATCTTTCCGGCACCTTGTCGAATCTATGCCACAAAGAATTAAATGCCATTTTATTAGGTATGCTTTACTAGCACTAGGTTTGACCACCTTTTTCCTTCAGACCTGCCTTGAGTGTACAGGTGTTGAACTCCAGGCCTCGAGGGCCGGTGTCCTGCAGCCTTTAGATGTGTCCTTGATCCATCACAGCTGATTTAAATGGCTAAATTACCTCCTCAACATGTCTTGAAGTTCTCCAGAGGCCCAGTAATGAACTAATCATTTGATTCAGGTCTGTTGACCCAGGGTGACATCTAAAACCTGCAGGCCACCGGCCCTCGAGGCCTGGAGTTTGACACCCCTGCTTTAGTGGAAGAAGCGTTAAACAATCACAGTGTACACATTTTCCAGCGCTCAATCATATGCTGGTTCCCCAGTCTGTCATCCAAACTGGTGAACCCCAGTGCATATGTAAATTTATGAAGTATATTTGTGGTTGCACAGCATTGTCTGTGTGATGACTGCTTTCATTCACATTCTGAAACTCAGGATGCCATAAACACAGATGGTGTGTTTGCATTCAGGTATTCTATCATCTGTGCCTCTTCCCCCATGCACAACACTCACAGTACTTATAGGAATTACAAAATGAGTTTTTACATCAGCAAAACCCAATTGTTACATGTTCTCATAAATATCACGTGACTAAAGCGAAGGAAGGCTGCCCCGCTCACTCTCTCACATGCACTCTCAGAAAAAACAAGGTCAACATGGCGTTCTGGTGTCATGTGACCCATCCCCCACCAACTTAAAGCATTTTTGGAATATTTCGGGCATGTCATTTTCAATCATGCGTTACACTCGTGCGCAGACATACACACATATATACATTGTCTCCCAAGTAAAGCTGGCACATTAGGCAGCAGTGAAGCCTCCCTCACGTAAAAACACAAACGCCTAGCAAAAGTTAATCTTTGTGACTTGAAGAGGAAAAAAAACCCAAACAAAATGCTGTCTCATGAATTCTTTTCCCTCAAAGGGCCCTCACCCTCCTTTGTGTTTCCCAGACTTTCTGTTTAAAGCTGAAGTCAGCCAGCTCTCAATTTAGAGTTATATATTTACTGATTTGAGTCCTGTGGGCGCAGAAAACTTTCTCAGCCTGCGATCAAAATGTCAGAAATGTTAAAGGTCTGTTAAGAAAGAAGGCGCTGCTACGTGATTCAGAGCAAGTGAAGCTGAAGTCTGATGATTGCAATAGTTGCCGATAGCTTCCATGTTTTTTTCCTGTTTTTTGGTCAGTGGTTCGCTGTAATCTTGTCCACAAAACCAAACATATAAACATAATTATGCAGGGTGCTGAGGGGCATACACTAAGATATGCAAAGATATACAAGCTCACGTTAAACAGCATAGATGTACATTACAGAGAAATCACATCTGCGGTAGCTTGGAAACCGTGTATCTCTTAATCTCAAAGAAACCTGCATTTTCTCAGTTTTCACGTTTACGAAAGCAGGCTGCTCAGGCTCAGGTATGCTGAGCTGATTATGTGCATGTAAACAAGCCGAGAGCTGAGCAAGGCCCC